CCCGAGTTCCACCCCAGCATCATAAACCTGTGGTGGTGGTGACATCTGTCACCCCGGCACTTGAGGCTAGCCTGGGCTACATGAAACCCCATCTCCAAACAGAACACATCATTTGTCTTTGGTGTTGCTGGGTCCCTGAGCTGGGTGGCACCGGGCTGGGCCTCTCTCTGGAACAAACACTGACCCGCTCTCCTCCCTTCAGTACAAGCAAGTAGAACAATACATGTCCTTCCACAAGCTGCCTGCCGATTTCCGCCAAAAAATCCACGATTACTATGAACACCGGTACCAGGGGAAGATGTTTGATGAGGAGAGCATCCTCGGGGAGCTCAACGGGCCGCTGCGTGAGGTGAGGTGGCTGCAGCCACACCTTAGAATCCCATGGACACTGACAGGGCATGTGGGATCAGGTCTGACATATGCTGTGGGTGCCCTTGGCCAACACCTGCAGTCCTGCCTGCTTCAAACACCAAGCTACAGTCTCCTAGGTGCAGAACATAAAACACACATCTGTGCAACCATGTTCCATCCCAGACCCTGGAGAGGGTCCTTCTTGCCTCTTCTGTCATCTGGGCCCTTACTTATTTCATGCATGTGGATGTTTTGCTTGCATGTGGTACCTGCGGAGATCAGAAGAGAACATTGAATCTCTTGGGACTGGAGTTACAGACAGCTGTGAGCTACCATGTGGTTGCCGGGAATTGAACCAGGTTCCCTGGAAGAACAGCCAATGCTCTAACCACTGATTCATCCCTCCTGCCCCCCACCTTTTAAGATTTTTTTATACATGTGTGTGTGCATGTGTGTATGTGCCCACAAGTGTGTTCAGGTGCCATGGAGGCCAGAAGAGGGTGCCTGATCCATTAGAGCTGCCAGATGTGGCTGCTGGGATCAAACTCTGGGCCCTCATGATTGAACAAGTTTCTTTTATTTCTTCCTTCCTTCCCTTTTTTTTTAAAAAAGATTTATTTATTTATTTATTTATTTATTTATTAAGTATACAGTGTTCTGCCTGTCATATGTCCCTGCAGGCCAGAAGAGGGCAGCATATCTCATTACAGATGGTTGTGAGCCACCATGTGGTTGCTGGGAATTGAACCCAGGTCCTCTGGAAGAGCAGCCGGTGTTCTTGACCACTGAGCCATCTCTGCAGCCCCCCCAAGCAGCAAACGCTCCTAACCACTAAGAAACCTCTTGAGCCCCCTCTCCTTTTTAAATGCATACATGCATACATCCATGTGTACATGGTGCACACGTATGTACATGGAAGCCGGAAGACAACTTGAATGTTGCCCTTAGGACCATCAGACAGGGTCTCTCCTCACTGGCCTGGAGTTGAGCGACTCAGCTAGGCAGGCTGGCCCTGTCTCTGTCTCCGCAGGCCTGGGATGCCAGGTGCACAGCAGCTTCAGCACGACCAGGGCAGAGGGCCCCAGGAGGAGAGCCTTGGGGGCGGCAGGGCCTGGGGCCCACGCCAGGAGGCAGCCTGCTCACCTGTCCTTTGTGGAGAGCCTAGCTCACAGGCCACAGAGTGCACGAAGCACATGGCTTTGTAGGGCATCCACATCCACTCCCAGCCCTAGAACTTTACCAGCCGCCCACAGGAAACGCCTCCTCCAAGCCAGAGTTTCTCTGTGTAACTCTGGCTGTGCCGGAACTCACTCTGTAGACCAGGCTGGCCTCAAACTCAGAGATCCGTCTGCCGTTGCCTCCCAAATTCTGGGATTAAAGGCGTGCGCCACCACAGTACGGCCCTTTTTTTCCATTTATGAGACAAGGTTTCACTCTACAACACAGGGTGACCTCAAATTCATGGCAATCCTCCTGCCTCAGCCTCCCGAGTGCTGTGGGCCACCTTGTCTGGCTCAGTGGTCACTTTTTCATGTGTCCCTCTGACTCACAGTCGCGGCCCTGTAGTGAGTCATAGAGACTGGTCTCCATGAGTTGCTTGCTGGGTTCTTAGCAATGCCCTTGACTGAAGCGTCCTGGCTGGAATGACATTTCGTATATAACCAAGAGAGAATGGGTGGCCCAAGGGTGCGAGGACGCATGCAGTCGGCCTCCTTTTTCTTCAGAAGTCTTTTACTGTTTCTGTGAGACAGGGTCTCACATGGCCGAGGCCGTCCTAGAGCTTCTTATGTAGGGGATGCTAACCTGACCTTCCTGCCTCCACTCCAGCACGCTGTGATGAAAGGCCTGCATGACCTGGTTCATGCCATGCTGGGGCTTAGGGATGGAACCCAGGGACTCATACGTGCCCAGAAGAGCTCTGCCCACTTAACTCCGTCCCCCCTTTGATCCTTTTGGGTATTTTTGTGGTCCTGTTATCTACAAAGAGACCTACAAAGTTTGACTTTCCCAGTCCAGTGTCTGTCACCCATCCCATGGTGGTGTGGGACTTGGGACTTTGCCTAGGAGGTTGGATAGGAGTTGAGGGGCCACTGTCTAGCACAGAGACTGAGGGTCTGAGTTACCAAGCCAGTCCGTCACTTGGCTGTCCTGCCTCCTGCCCACAGGAGATTGTGAACTTCAACTGCCGGAAGCTGGTGGCTTCCATGCCACTGTTTGCCAACGCAGATCCCAACTTTGTCACGGCCATGCTGACAAAGCTCAAGTTCGAGGTCTTCCAGCCCGGCGATTACATCATCCGAGAGGGGACCATCGGCAAGAAGATGTACTTCATTCAGCACGGGGTGGTGAGTGTGCTCACCAAGGGAAACAAGGAAATGAAGTTGTCAGACGGCTCCTATTTCGGGGGTGAGTACTCCAAAGCAAGGCAGAGATCTGGATGGAACCGGACAGTGGACAGCTCCAGCCCAGGGAGGTCCAGGAGGGTTTGAGTCAGCAGTGGGTGGGTCTGAGTGTGTCCTGGGCGGGTCTGAGTGTGCCCTGGGTGGGTCTGAGTGTGTCCTGGGCAGGTCTGAGTGTGTCCTGGGCGGGTAGTTGTGCACAGGGCATGAGGTTCACTCTTGTCTTTGCAGAAATCTGCCTGCTCACAAGGGGCCGGCGCACAGCCAGTGTGCGGGCTGACACCTACTGCCGCCTCTACTCACTAAGTGTAGATAATTTCAACGAGGTGCTGGAGGAGTACCCCATGATGCGGCGTGCCTTTGAGACCGTGGCCATTGACCGCCTGGACCGCATCGGTGAGCTACCAGACTGCCTGAGAGGGGTCCCGGGATACAGAAAGGACAGGGTGCTGAGGAGTGTCTGGGTGACACAGTGTCTTCCTGGAGCAAACATAGCAGGCAAAGGCCCTGGGGTGAAAAGGCAAGAAGAGCCGAAACAGGGCCTGGTGGAAACAGTTCTGGCTCAATAAACCAGGCACATTAGCAAAGTTCTGTGTCAGGCATGGAAGGCAGGGAGAGGTGGGAGCTCCTGGTGACAGGACATAGGAACCAGGTGTTAAGATAGTGGCCTGAATCAGAGGGCACACAGCAAGCGCTCAGACACACGCGCACACGACAGGGACTCTCTACAGAGTGTGCGTGCTGGATACACTTGCTGTATGCGGCAGGCAATTAGCATGCACTTGCCACACGAGAGGCACTCAGTACTTGGAATCTACACAGGAAATACAGTGGGAGCTGAGAACATGCCTGCTGCTGGACTCAGACTGGCTGCAGAGGCAGGTGGCCAAGCTAGCGCTGACCTCTGCTTTGCCCGCAGGCAAGAAGAACTCCATCTTGCTGCACAAGGTTCAGCACGACCTCAGCTCGGGCGTGTTCAACAACCAGGAGAATGCCATCATCCAGGAGATTGTCAAGTATGACCGTGAGATGGTGCAGCAGGCAGAGCTGGGTCAGCGTGTGGGGCTCTTCCCACCACCACCACCGCCGCAGGTCACCTCAGCCATTGCCACACTGCAGCAGGCCGTGGCCATGAGCTTCTGCCCGCAGGTGGCGCGCCCGCTCGTGGGGCCCCTGGCACTCGGCTCCCCACGCCTCATGCACCGCGCACCCCCAGGGCCTCCGCCTCCTGCAGCCTCACCAGGGCCGCCTATGGCCAGTCCCCCGGCCGCGCCCTCCAGTCCCCGGGCACCGCGGACCTCGCCCTACGGTGCACCCGGCTCCCCAGCCACCCGCGTGGGGCCCGCACTGCCCGCGCGCCGTCTGAGCCGAGCCTCGCGCCCACTGTCCGCCTCGCAGCCTTCGCTGCCCCACGGCGCACCCGCGCCTAGCCCCGCGGCCTCCACGCGCCCGGCCAGCAGCTCCACGCCACGCCTGGGACCCGCGCCCACCGCCCGGACCGCTGCACCCAGCCCGGACCGCAGGGACTCAGCCTCCCCCGGCGCTGCGGGTGGTCTGGACCCGCTGGACTCTGCGCGCTCGCGCCTCTCTTCCAACTTGTGACCCTTGCGCGCCGCCCCGCGGGCTGGGCGGGGCCATCATCCACACCAAAGCCATGCCTCGCGCCGCCCGCCCGTGCCCGCGCAGAAGCCATAGAGGGACTTAGGTAGCTTAGGCGGCGGGCGGCCTTGCGCCCGGCTGCCCACCCGCCCCCATCGCCCTGCGCCCACCCCATTGCTCCTGCCCCAGCGGCGGCCGCGCACGGGAGAGGGAGGGGCGCGATCACCTCGGTGCCTCAGCCCCAATCTGGGACGGGGACGGGGCGGCCCCGGCCAAGAACCTGGCTATGCCCCGCATTTGCGGTGGCTGCCAAGGAAGGATATGGATCAAGTGCAATACTCGGCCCGCCGGCTTCCCGCTGCCCCAGCCCGGCAAGCTCATGCAATAACCAGCCTGGCCCCTGCCCACGCGTCCGAGTGACCTCCCTCAGGCACCCAGGGGCGGGCTTCACGGCCAAGCCGGTGTGGGGGCAAGGCTGAGTCCCCGCCGTCGCCATGAATGTACTGATGAGCCGAGGCAGCAGCGGCCCCCACGCCCCATTAACCCACACCCCATTCCGCGCAATAAACGACAGCATTGGCGCCTAGCGCCGAGTCTGCTTGCTTTGGTGGGTTTGTGCGACGCCAGAAAGTGGCGGCTGGCATAAGCGGACACAGACTCAAATATTTATTTACACTATGCACAAGTCTAGGGACAGTACGGGGTGGGTCAGCTGAAGAAGTAGGTGGACCTCATCACCTGCCCCAGATCGAAGTTACCTGCGGAGCCAAAACAGCATGGAGCTGAGGCTAGGTCAACTGGACATGCCTCCAAGGGCCAGTGCCCTTTTAAAACCCCTTTTTAAACCCTTACCTGTCTCTGGCAGGGACCGTAGTGTCTCCTGCAGCTTGGTGACCAGGGCAAGTTCCGATGGCTTCAGGGACCTGGTAGTGTAAACAGGACATGAGTAGGGAACTGGCGGCAGGCAGGGACCAGGCCTCAGGAAGAGGGGCCGCTTACCTGTAGGCAGAGCAGAACCGCTTCTCCAGGAACTTAGCTAGGTCCTCCAGGATTGGCTGGCTATGTAGGCGCACAAACTGCTCGCGACATACCTGAGGGGTGACAGCTCTGAGTCACCCATGGTACAGACTTGTGGGGTCCCTGAGACTAGGGACTGGAAATACCTCGTTCATCACCGGGATGTCAGCGGCATGCGTCCAGAAGCAGTCGTGCACAGAGACGAAGGTCAGGCCCCTCCTGGCCAGGGAGATTCCGAGTGAGGCAGCTGCTGCCTGCTCAGTGCCCCCAACCTCATTCTGAGTCCCCAGCACACCCAGGTTCCCCAGTGCTCTAAGCAGTAGATGTTCAGGAAGACACTAACCTCACACACCCTCAAACCACTCGCCCATTCATATCCCAGCTCAGTCCAGTGGCAGGCACTGGGCACAAGGACCCTGCCCTGCCCTTCACTGGCAGTGTCTACCCACTACACACAACCCCATCATCACTGTCCTGTCGCGTCACCGCAGCCCCAGAGAGACAGCTACATCACAGATGGACTGCCCACGCATGTACTGTGGGTCCACCTGTAGCAAGTGTGTGCCTGCCCCTGGGACACACCTGTAGCAGTGCAGGGCGGTCAGCATCATGTGGGAGGAGTCCAGGGAGTGGATGAAGTTGGGTGGGAAGCCATTCTTCTGCTTCAGAGTGTTGGGCTTCCTGTGGACCCAGAAGCGCTAGGCCTGGCACCCTCCTGGCCCGTCTCTCTCCCAGCCCCTCCCCTCCCCGCATCCTGGACTCACTGACTGATGTTCATCGAGCTGGTAAAGGTGATGCTCTGGATGCCGCCTTTCACCTGCAGGCCGGGGTTGGGGGTTGGTGAGTGCAATCCTGGGCGGGAGGAGGGGAGGGGAGGGGAGGTGCCTTCCCGGGTACCTGGACCTTGGCCTCACGGTGATAGGGCTGTATGATGGGGATACCCAGGGGTGTGACCCACTCCACAGGCCAGCCCGCGTGAGAGATGAGGTTGGCGCTCTCAGTCAGCCAGTGCTGAGGGTGTGACTGTACACCTGGTCAGATGGGAAGGCCACAGAGGGGAGGCCCGCCCCGCCCCCGCGGGAGAGTTGGGTGGCGACTCACCTGTATGGCCCGGGTGCTGGAGAACATCTCCTGTAGGCTTTTGAAGACCAAGCGCACGAGGTAGTGTGAAGCTTCCCAGACAAACTCCTGCGGGGGGTGGAGGGTGATGTGAATGGCAGGTGGGTGGGTGGGGCTAGCAGGTTGCCTCTCCCCTTGGCCCAGAGCCAGAACCCAGCCAGGGCTACGGGACTACTACCACTGTTGGGAAGACCGAGGCTCTGGTCCCAGTGCTGAAGGGAGCATGCAGGTGGGGACCCGGCAGGCTGCACACCTGGGGGAAGTCTCTGAGTTCGCGCAGACGCTTCTCTATCTGCAGGCGCCCACCATAGCGCGTAACCCCATACACCACGGTCATCACGGTCTGCTTCACCACCTTACGGGTGATGAAGCCCTTCAGCACCTGGGCCACCTGCAGGCCCTCCTTGGCGTCCTGCTGGCGGAACTCCTCCACCTGGATGGGGTCAGGAAGCAAGGAAGCCCTGTCATGCCACCTCCCCACCAGGGATTCTATGGGATTCTATTCAGACATCAGCAAGAAAGGACAGGGGCCCTGGCACCCACCTGTGTTGCCACCTCCCTGTACACATCTTGGGGCAGGTCCGAGGGCGTTAGGTTGACAGAGGCTGCACCAGCGCTGTCCCGGCCCAGTGCAGCGTAATGCTGCAAACCATTGCAGGAGCCATCCTGGCCACAAGGGGTGTTCATGAGCTGAGCCCAAGTAAAACAGGCATCATCCCACATCCCAGTGCAAATAAAAAAGTAGGTCTTCGGGAGACTGGGGACCCGCCTCCCTTACAAAGCAAAGCCACTGTATCAGGAGGCCAGTTCCACAGGGCAATCCCAGTTAAAGATGAGACCCCACTGCAAGTACCAGGTCCCAGGGGGCAGTCCACTCACGGGCTCACCTGGTGAACGGGCAGGTGGGAGATATAGGCAGTGGGGTCTGGGGACCTGACTGCTTGTGCTATCTCCATGCAGCAGGCCAGGGTCTGCCAGGGCTCATCAGCTTCCATCCACCATTTCCGGCCCTGTGGAGCATAAGACCCATAGGACTCAGGGGTCAGCAAAAGCCGGCCAGGGCAGCTCAGGCGACACCAGGCAAGCGTGTGTGTGTGTGTGTGTGTGTGTGTGTGTGTGTGTGTTGGGGGCAACGAGGAGGGCCACTCATGGGACAGCTGTCAGCTGCTACTGGGCACGTTGAGAGGGACATAGTGGGCAGCAGAGAAGGAGACAGCTGGAGTCGGGGTTGAGAGGTCTGAGTGCACAACGGGCGGGGGGAACAGAGTAAGAGGCAGGAATGGGAGCAGCTAGGGAAAAGAGCACCCGATTCCCCACCGTCATGGGGTTGTCTGCAGAATCCAAGATCTCCTCCATAATCTGGTCTGCGAAAGTCAGGCGCATGCTCAGAGAGTCACGCTTCTTGAGGCCAGTCAGGTTGACCAGGTGGATTTTGAGCCAGTCAAGGCCATGCAGCCCCAGCGGCCGGCCTTCGGCAAACTCCAACAGCGCACGTGCCAAATCGCTGCCCAGGTGGTTGAAGTGCGGTGGGCAGGGGTAGGTGCGGCCGCGGAAGTCCATGTTGTGTGGCAGCCAGAAGACACGGTCGCGCAGGTGCTGTGCCAGCGACAGCCGATACAGGGCTTCGCTGCGCAGGCTGTGCATCTCCCGAGCAGCTTTGAGGCAGCGCGCCAGCTCCTTCCGCAGCTCCGCCTTGTGCACAGGTGAGGAGCCGGGTGGCAGGTGCTGCCGGGCTGGCTGCGGCGCCTCTGAGCGTGGAGGAGGAACACCCAGGCGCATACAGCCCTTGTCCCTGAAGACCTGCAGCACCAAGTCTAGCAGGCGCCTGTTGACACGCCAGGCGCAGTTCCCCAGCTGCGTGAGCGCGTCCAGGGCACCATGCAGTTGGGCTGGAGCGCAGCGCTCCAGGAGATGCTGGTGCTGCGTGGTGCCCTCCATGGCACGCATCAGTTTGGTAGAGCTCAGAAGGTAGGCCCCGGCGTGCGGTGACGTCCAGGGCAACGGTGGGCACAGCATAGGCACTTCTGTGGTCTCGAAGGTTAGTGTGGGTTCCGCTGCCATCTCTAGCAGCTGCGTGAAGGCAGGGTGAGGCTTGAGGATGCCGACCTGGGGAAGACAGCAGACACAAGGGGCATGCACAAGGGGCTGAGCACGGGCACTCTCTGCCACCACACAGGGAGGAGGGAACAACCCCCCACCCCACCCAGCTCTCCACATACATCCCAACACAGATAGGGATGAGAGAGCAGTGCTGCCTAGAGTTGTCAGAGCCATGTTGCCCTGCATCCTTAGGCCCCTCATAAGCCCTCATTCAGGCCCTTCGGCGGCCCGCTCACCTGGCGGTAGCTTCGGAAGGAGTACACGTGGTAGAGCACCGGGATGAGGCGGCACGAGCCCTGCGGGGCAGCCAGGCTGCGTGGCATCTGCACGGCCTGCACCAGCAACTCGGCCAGCTGCTTTCCCAGCTGCAGCAGCACCGGCACGGACCAGGGCTGCTGTGGCGGGGTCTCCGGTGGGCCCAGCAACTCCCAGTACTCCCGAGGAAGGAAGGGCGCCTCCACCTGCAGGAAGAGCTGATCAGGAGAGCCCAGGGCTGCCCATGTTCTCTAAACAGGGAGCGAGACTCGGACGGACTGATGTAGTTGGGGAGGGTGCTGAGGAGAGTGGTGAAGGAGTGTGATGAGCAGGAAGTCTGCCTCCTTCACCTGCGTGTTGGAAGCCAGCAGCCGGAGGTACTGCGAGTATCGCTGTCCCAGCTTCTCCACGTGGTTGGTAACCTGCTTCTGCTTCACCAAATGCCTATTTAAGACCCGAAGGCCCAGGTCATGAGCCAGGTGGAGTAGGGGCTCGCCCTGTGACGGCAGAACCCGCAGAACCTGGGGGCAACAAGAGTTGAAGCTGTGGTTGCCTGAACACAGCTGCCTGTCCTCCGCCCAGGTACCCCAGCCCTGGCCGCCTGTCCTCCGCCCCGGCACCCAGTCCTGGCCCACCTGCAGCAGCATGTTGACAAACTCTCCTTCACTGAGCAGGCACAGGAACGGGTAGAGGGTGGGCTGGCCTTCCTGTGCCTGGCAGGCCATGGTGGCCTTGGTCTGCTGCAGGACTCGTAGCAGCTCCACTTCCCACTGCCCTTGCAGCGTCTTCAGTGTCTTCCGCTACGGGAGAGCAGCATCACAACCTGAGCTAGAGTTTCCTGCCAAGATCTCCCAGGACCTGGACTGGGGGAAGCCCTTACCGCCTCAATGACCTCCTTGGTCATTTCTGGGGCCTTCTCCACCGACTGGACACTGACGTTGGCACTCAGCTCCACACGGAGCTGCTGGGAAAAAAGGTCCTGCAGGGTCTCCAGGGGCAGGTGCAATTTCGGGTAGGACTTGGGACCATTCTGCTGGGCAGAGAGACAAGTGAGGCAGGGGCACAGGAGACAGACCACCCTGCGCAGGCAAGAAGCCCCATCACTGCCTCTGCCAAAGTGTGTCCACTCAAATAATCTGGAGGACTAGGAACTGAACACATATGTACTCAACATCTGGACACCTGACACGTGTACTCAACAGCTGGAACACGGACACAGGCACCTGACACGTGTACTCAGAACAGTCCAGCATCCATGACAGATGAACAGACATACTAGAATACTACTAAGCCATGAATAGGAACAAGGCTCCAATACACACCACAGTATAGAGGGACCTTGAGGACACTGTCATCAGTGAGCCAGGCACAAAAGGCCACACAGTATCAGACTCCACGACAGAAAATGTCCAGGACAGGAGAATCCAGAGAAAGCTCACCTGTGAAGGTGAGTCTTCCCAATGCAGAGAAAGGAAATGAGGCTGCCATGGTGGCTTTGTGCCTGGGGCTCACCTTGGCATAGATCTCCCTGAGCAGTGTGGACGTGTTGACTGGACTTGGTGCCTGTGGTGGTGGACTGAAGGCAGGCTCAGCCTTGACTACTGCTCTCAGCAGCGCGGCCTGCTCCTCTCCTGCCAGGGCCAGGTCAGTGAAGAGCTGCTGAGGCTGAAAGCCATTTTCCTTCATCTGCTTCAGACACCTGAGGCAAAAGGGGTGGGATGGCGTAAGCTGAGCACTCAAGGGGCCACCTTGCCCCCAGGACAGGGCCGCCCAGCACATTCCTGACTCACTTCTGGATGGTGTGGACATCCTGGTCCCTGCGTCCCATGCACTGGAGTGCGGCAGCATAGGACCACAGGTCGGGGGAAAGGCCAGCATCCTTCAGCATGATGAACACGTATACCATCTCCTTGAAGGAGCCCTGGGGGAAGGGGTGGGGCAGTGAGGACCAACGGCACCTGGACCTCCTTCTCTGAGATCCCTAGAAACATACTCTCTACATCACTGATTCGGGAGGGGACCTAGGAACAGGTGGACCACAGGGTGTTCTTCTGAGGAACACTGCATTACTGGAGATTGAACCTGGGGCCTCTTGCAGGCCAGGTATGTGGTCTACCATTGAGCTCCAAAACCTACCTGTCTGTGTTTTATTGCTGGCTTTAATGATTTATTTATTCGTGATTTGTGTGCATGGGTGTTGTGCTTGCATGTACATCTGTGTGAGGGTGTCAGATCCCCTGGAACTGCCATGTGGGTGCTGGGAACTGAACCTAGCTTCTCTGCAACAGCAGCCAGTGCTCTTAACCACTGAGCCACCTCGCCAGCCCGATGTTGGCTTATTTTTTGTTGTTTGTTTGTTTGCTGGCCTGGAACCATGCAGATCAGGCTAGCCTCAAATTCAGAGCTTCTGCCTCCCATCTGTTTTATGTTCCTTTTCTCATTTTCGTTTTGTTTTTCTCTTTGAAACAAGCTCTTTAAGAGCGGGAGAGACGGCTCAGCAGTGAAGAGCAGATGCTCTTCCGGGGACCTGGGCTCAATCCCAGCACCCACATGGCCTCACACCTATCTGTAACTCTAGTTGCAGGGCTTCTGACACCCTCACAGACATACATGCAGGCCAAACACCAATGTACATAAAATAAAATCACCCACACACACAAAAAAGGGTCAGGTGTACTGGTGTATGCCTTTAATCCCAGCACTAGGGAGAGGCAGGCGGATCTCTGTGAGTTCAAGGTCAGCGTGGTCCAGACGTGGAATTCCAGGACAGTCAGAACTACACAGAAAAACTCTGTCTAGAAAAAAAAAAGAAAAGAAAAGAAAGAGGCCTGTGTTTCTCAGGCTCATTTTGAACTCCTAGATTGACATTCTCCTGCCCTGCCAAGGTGCTGGGGAAGAAACAGAACTCAGAGCACAGGTTTCCAGCTCGGGAATTTATGAAAAAGAGCAAGTTCCCAACCCTGGAGCACCAAAGTCCCCAAGCTTCAGGGCCACTGGGACAGGAGGCTCAGAAGCCCCATACAGAATTACACTTCAGGTATTCTCAGTTTCTTATTTTCAGTGGGGAAGGAGAAAGGGGTTTTTACTTTGCAGACCAGGCTAGCCTTGAACTCAGAGACCCGCCTGCCTCTGAGGGCCAGGATTAAAGGTATGCACCACCACCACCCTGCTCCTCTGTTTGTTTTTGTTGTTGGTGTTGGTTTTTAAGGGAAGAGTTTTCTACCTGAGAAGCCTGAAGGAAGTTGAAGCAGGCTCACCTTTCGGGCCCAGCCGAGCAATACGGTGTTATACATGTCCAGCGTAAGCAGCTGCTGCCTGTCACACTTGCTGTGCTGAGTGACCAGCACGTGGTGGGCAAGGGGCATGTTGTCAGTGCAGGCGCAGCACTCAAAGAAAGTCAGAAATTTCTGCTGGAGCAGCAACAAGTTTGCCTCCACCACCTTGGCCTGCGTCCTGCCTGGGGTGCAGGAACTCAGCTTCAGCATGGCAGCCTGCAGGGCCCAGGTCAGCTGCTGCTCCTCCTCCTCTGAGCTCTTGGGTGCCCCCTTCTTGCTCTGCTGCAGGCAGCTGGCCAGCTTCTTGCTCCAGATCCGGGGCTCCGTGAGCAGTGTGTGGCTTTGCTTCTGTTGGTCAAGAAATCTCTCCTGGCGCTTCTGCTTCACCTGTTTCTCGGCCTCCAGCTTTTGGGCCCAGCGGCCGCTGCGGCCCTTCAGGGACCGGTCCATTGGCCCCTTCTTCACCATCACCTGGGACATGCTCTCCGCCTGCAGCTGCTGCACCCGAGCCTCCAGCACTGCAAAGAGCAGAGGAAGTTTGGGGACCGTCTTCTGCACCTCAGGATGCTCTGAGCCTAGCCCCAGGGTCATCTCAAACATCCTCCTGGTGATCATCGTGCCTTGCTCTGCCTGCCAAACCTCCTGCTCCCCCTCCTTCACTCCACCTCAGGGCCTTCGCACATGCTGGAACCTGCCTTTTCTGATTCAGGCACATACTTGACACCTGGGGAGCGACACAACAAATATCCCTAGCTCTGTGTCCTAAGTCAGTTGACCAAATGTTCACATTCTCTCCAACCATGCAGGGGTCCCTGCCACACAGCTTTCAGAGGTGACCAAGCTAGTGCTCCAAAAGGTCAAAGTCTGGCCAGGAACACAGCATACAGGGGCAGCCACAGTTAGTGGTGAGTGCAGAAACAGAGCAGGCTCATCCTCAGGCCCTCAATACAAGTGTTCTTAGGACTAGCTGACTGCCATTTCCAGAACTCCGGTCCCCGGTTCACGGCAGAAGGTCAGCATGAGTCAGGGGCCTGGTTCTGATTTGTACAAAAAAAGTTGGGAGTGGCCGGGTGGTGGTGGCAGAGGCAGGCGGATCTCTGGGAGTTCGAGGCCAGCCTGGTCTACAAGAGCTAGTTCCAGGACAGGCTCCAAAGCTACAGAGAAACCCTGTCTCGGGAAAAAAAAAAAAAAAAGTTGGGAGTGGAAGGGGTGCATAGGAGAGGCCCGAAGTTCTGGGTGAGCTCCTGTCTCAATGCACTCTTGACAAGGCAGAAGGTGCACCTATGTGGGGCCTCCTGACAACTGAGAATGGGTGTGGACTGCACCCGCAGAGACCCCAGAGAGAGAAGAGACGTCAGCGGGACTGACCCCAGTGAGTGCTTGTGTTCACAACAGAAAGAGACCTCATGGGAAAAGACACACGGTATGCACTAAATCTCTGATACCCTCCTCTGGTCAGATGACAGATCCCATCGTGTTGAGACGGGAATCAATAGGTGCTGACGATGGAACAGGACCATAGCTGTGCACCATCTCAACGTGTGTGTCCGTCCCTCTACCTCTACCTTCTGCGGCTACCATGCAGACATGACATTGGATCAGGAGGGAAGCCTGGCCTGGCCTGGGGCAGCCTGTCCACTAGACTTGGTTGCCTAACCCTTAAAATTGGGTTCCAAAGCTGAGTGGTGTTGCTCACCTTTAATCCCAGCACTTGGGAGACAGAGGCAAGAGGATCTTTGAGTTCAGGACCAGTCTGGTACCGAGCAAGTTCGAGCAACCTTGTCTCGAAAAACAAACAAACAAATTGGATTCCAACTGCACCTTGACTGTACGGGACACAAACTGGAGACTCTCTACCTTAGCAGAAGACATTCCAACAAATGGACCGCGGGCATTTGTTCAGGTTTAATTTGGGCTCTCAACTGTCTTCCAAGTCTCAGGTAGAAATCTGGGGCCCAGGGAATAAAATAACAGCTCCCAGAAACAGCCCAGCACCACAAGAGGACCCAACAGGCCACGTATAGGACATCCGGCCCACACCACCTGCTGGGTGTACTTTACTGTTTTGGTATGCTCAGGTACAGTTGAGGAGCCATTCCTCAAGGCCTCCATTATAAGGAGTGTGAACCCTGCACAGGGGTACAGGGGTATGGAAGGGCTTGGGATGCGGCTCACCCTCCAGCAGCTCAGCATGGCCCCACTCCTTCTGGGCATCTTGCTCACGGGGACTGGCGGCAGAGCTCCGTCTGGAGCTGCAGAGGCCACTGAGGGTCCCTGAAACACAGAGGGTGAGACTGCACGTTAACCACCCCAGCGCTCCGGAGGCTGAGGTAGGAGGGTCTCCAGCTGGAGTCCAGCCTAAGCTACAGGAAGAAATGGTATCAAAAGACGACAGTCAGGCATGGAGGTGCAGGTTTGCGATCTCAACACACAGGAGACTGAAGCAGTAGGGCAGGAATCCGAATCCAACATCCAGCATGAGCCACGTGGAAGAACCACGTCTCAAAAAGTAACCGCACCCCACTCCAAATAAATCAAGACCCAGGAAAATGTAAGCTCAAGGGCAGAGCAGGCCGAAGCTACGAGAGCCAAGGTGCAGGATCCGGGAAGGACCCATAACTAAAAGTAGCGATAAAGGTCAAAGTCACAACCCTAAGTCCCCAACGATGGGTTAGAGGGCTACAAAAGCGCGCAAGAGTCAAAAGGCAAAGTATCCTGCGGTTCCTCTTCAAGCGTGTTCCCAGAGACTCCATAGGTCAAAGGGCAAAGGCTGGAGGTGACCGGACCTCAAGGAGGCGAAAAATCATAGCCTTGGATCCGACACTGCTTTACCTTCCTCCGAGGTCGGGCGGCGGCGCCCAGAAGAGCTCAACGCCCGGCCGAGCCCTGCGGCGCCCCGGGTCCAGCGTAGCGCAGACATGCCGCCCGCTGTCCGCAATACGCACGCGCGCGCAAAGCCAGCCGGGAGTTGTAGTTCCGCGGCTGCCGAAAGCGACTCATGGTGGGCCCCGCCTGAGGCGCCTAAATAGACCTACAACTCCCAGGAGGAAGCGCGCCGAGTGGCGGCAAGAGAGCACGCGCAGAAATATTCTTCTGATTGGATCTTTTCTTAGGTTTTTTTTTTTCCATAATCCAAGTTTCCTCTTTGATTTGCCTTTTTCTTCCTTTTTTTTTTTTTTTTAAAAGAAACTATTTATTTATATTTTTAATTTTGGTTTTTCGAAACAGGGTTTCTCTGTGTAGACCTGGCTGTTCGGGAACTCACTCTGTGGACCTGGCTGACCTCAAAATCGGAAATCCACCTATCTCTGCCTCCACAGTGCTGGGATTAAAGGCGTGCGCCACCACGACTTTATCTTTTTACTTCCTTATTCTTTGATTGTTTGGTTTCTGCTTTGTTTTATCTGTTCTTGTTACTGTTTTATATATGTGTATCTACATATTACAGAATATATATATTATGTATGTGTGTGTATATATATATGTATATATATATATATATATATTACACAGAGCCTCGCTACGTAATCATGACTTCCTGGAATGCGTTACATTTAGCGCAGGCTGGCCTTGAACTCAAAGAGACCTGCCTGTTCTGCCTCCCCAGTGATGGCATTTTACCATGCACAACCATGCACAATCTCCTATTTTTCCACAGCCTTAAAGATGAAAAAGAAGCGTAAATAGTCCCACATCCCTGTTCACTCATGGTTCAATCATTCACAGCCCCGTGGAGCTCCTGACCCAGAGCTGGGGTGACGCAGCCTGATTCATCTGGTGTTGGTGCTGTGCTGTGCACACCAGGCAAGGGCTCGCCCTCTGAGCCTCAGCTGGCCCCCAACCCTGTCTATTTTTTTCTCCTGCACCACAGGTTTGCTTCAAATTTCCTATGTAATCAAAGATGACCTTGAATATCTGAACCTCCTGCCTCTAATTTAGGATTTAGGAGTGTTGGGATGACAGGTATACACCATCAATCCCCAGCATTTTAGAGACAGTCTTGCTAAATTTTCCAGGCTGGTCTGGAAGTGATTCTAAAGCACAATAAACTCCTGAGACGACAGGAGGCCATTTTCCCCTCCCCACTCTCTACTGCTGTTCAGAGCTCATCAGGGAGAGGAAGACGTAGTGAGGTGGTTTTAACCCCAGCCTCTGGAGGTGGAGGCAGGAGGATTAAAATTCAAAGCAATAGCCTGGGGCACAATAAAATTCTGTCTCAATGAGACAGACTCACCAAAAGAAAGGAAAAGGAAGAGAAGGGGGGTTGCACATGCCTTTAATCCCAGCACTTGGGAGACATAGGCAGGCGGATCTCTTGAGTTTGAGTCATCATAGACTACAGAGCAAGTTCCAGGGCAGCCAGGGCTACACAGAGAAATCTTGTCTTGAAAAGCCAAAAGAAAGAAAGAAAGAAAGAAGTCTCTTTGGTGTTAGAGAGGTGGATCGGTGGTTGGAACACTGGCTGCTCTTCCAGGGGACTCTGCTTCATTTCCCAGCACCCCCATGGCAGCTCACCACTGACTGTAACTCCAGTTTCAGGGAACCTGACATCCTCACAGAGATAAATACAGGTAAAAACCAATGTGCATAAAAAAACAAATTAATTATTCAGAGAAAGGGAGAGGAACATAGATTGAGTCTTCTTCTCAGCCTTTATGCCTCAGTTGTGAAGGTTCAGAGACATCCATCAAGGGGCCCAAATGTGCAGAGAATGGATCTCAGACATATGTGAGAAAACTCAGGTCTCATATTCCCCCTATCCTAGCCTCAGTTTACTCCACAGACAGGATCCGAGCAAGAGGAGTTCCAGGGCAGTCACGGTGGCTAGACAGAGAAACTCTGTCTCAAAGGGCAATGAGTGAGCTAGACACAGAAGTGACAACCCCAGCTTCTCCATCCCTTTGGTTGTAGCCACCAAGTAATCAATCCGCTTAGGTGTGGCATGCAGTCAAATCTAGAAGCATGCCCACTGAAGGCTCAGAGGATCACCCTGAGCTAGGACCAGGGTTCATGTGACAAGAGGGATGAAAGGGAGGAATGCCAGCCAATGCCAAGGCCCTAAGACATGAGCAGAGTGTCTGGGCCACTGGAGAGGCCTCCAGGGTAGGGACTCAACTGATTTCCTCTGCTTAAACTGAAGTTGCCACCTGCCCTCAAGTTGAGAACAAAACCCATGGCTCCTCCTCTACCACATGGTCCACGGGACCCAAGCGAACAATAACTTTACCACTGAGAATTGCCCTCCCGGTTGTCGCTCAGCTCATCCCCCAGGGTACCAGAGCATGGTAACCTCAACCCTAACTTCTTCTGGGGTCACCTTCCTGGTCCCCAGGGATGAAGCAGCAGGACCTGTAACCCCAAGACGCCCACAGCTACTCACATCTTTGTGGGCTGGAAGACTGGGGACTCAGATTCTTCCCCGTCCCTTATTATTCAGGTTCCTCTCTGATTTGCTGAAGCACCAGACTTTCCACATCAGAGTTTTCAATTGGTTCTTAGTCAACAGATTCTAGAGAAGGATGCTCCTGCTGAGCCCCACCCAAGTTCCTCACTGGGAGATTCTAGGCGGGGCTCCAACCTGACCACGCCCCAGCCCCTCACTAGGGATTCTGGGCAAGGGCTCTGAGTCACAGCCTTAGTCCCCACCCCACCCCATGTTTACCTCACACACCCCCAAACTGATTTATGGCCAGTGATATAGGCTGTCCTGTCTCTTTCCACTATAGTCACCCGTCAACATGTTAATGGATAGGAGAGTTACTATTCTGAAGTTGAGGTCAGATTTTCTTATGAAACCTAAGAATTTTGAAGTATGGCCTGATCTCAGATATTCAGGAAGATGGGGAGTTTGAGGATAGCCTCGCAGCTTATTGAGATCTTGTGTTAATAAACTAAAAACAGGTTTGGGGCTGTGGCTCATAGCTAGAACCTCTGACTAGAATTCCCCATTGAGGGGCTGGGAGTGTTGTCAGGGGTGAAGGTCTTAGGGATAGAGCCTAGCATGTGGAAAAGACTTGGGTTCAGTCCCTAGTACCCTCCAAAAAAAGATTCCTCCAAGTTTTCTGCCAAGAGTGTCGGCTCCTGCCTGTTATCCTAGTGCTCAGAGTACTCCTCAGGCTGAGTTCAAGGCTAACCTGAGCGGACTCTAGAGTGAGATTCCGCCCTGACCCTCTGGCCCCACGGCAGAAATAAAGAAGTGATTCCAGGAGATTCTCTTTCTTCTGGCCTCTGTGTTTGAGCTGTGGCATGTGTACCATCCCCTCTTAGACAGATAAAGGCAATCCAACATTGAAAAACCAAGAAAGAGCTGGGCGATGGTGGCACAGCCTTTAATCCCAGCACTTGCGAGGCGGAGGCAGGTGGATCTGTGAGTTTCAGGACAGCCTGGTCTGGCGTGAGCTCCAGGACAGCCAGGGCCACGGAGACACTCTGTTTTGGGAAAAGGAAAAGAGAAGAAGGACAGACTGCTAGAGGTGTGTTCCGACATCCCAGCACTCAAGGAGGCTGAAGGAGAAGTATTTTGAGTTAAAAGCTAGACTGAGACAACAAACAAAATTAATTAAATACAGTTACCACATGACCCAGAGATCCCCCTCCTAAGTATGTGACCAAAAGAAATAAAGACCCACATCCACACCAAAACTAAAATACTCACAGTACCTGGAACACAGAGATAACCCGGTCTCAACAGGCACGTGACACACAGTATGGGCCATCACCGTCTTGGAATGTTACTCGGCCATGAACAGGAGTGAGGCTCCCACACATGACACAGCCGGAAGGTATTCAGTGAGAGAACCAGACCCTAAAGGCCATACAGTGCGGGTCTCCATGACAGGAAATGGCCAGAACAGGAGACCCCAGAGACAGGAAACAGACTTGCGAGTACTGGAGGCCAGTAAAGTCAGGTGACTCTCGTGAGGACGGCAGAACACTCCGGAGTCTGACAGTGGGAGCTGCCCCAGCTCATGCACTAGTAATCAGGTTATACTTTACATGAGTAATTTATGTGGTATGCAAATTACATCTCAATGAGCTATTCTTAAATTAAACCAAGTCAGACAACTCCCAGGCGTGCGTCTCGGTCTCTCACACAGGGAATCTAAAAATGTCCAAGGGCGTGTCTAGGGGCTGCGAGGTGTTCATCCCAGAAGGGGAGCTTAGAATTTCAGTCACGGAACAAAAGTCACATGTGGCATTTGGAGCTGTGTGCTCCATTGCTTGCCCAGCATTGTCTAGACTTTCTCAGTGTACCTCCCAGACAGACACCCCCTCGCCAACCTGCCTCACAGGGAAAGCACACAGCACACAGGTGTAGGTGATCAGGAAGGGGTCACGGGGCCTTGTGCCATATGTGTGCAGTGAGAGCCTCTGATGAGCCCAGGCACCACCTCACAGTGTGACCTGTCCAGGTCCAGGAAGAGACGGGATCTGCTAAGCCACCAAGAAGGAATCCTGGCATCCTGAAGGACTGGTTGTCTTTCCAGAGGACTCCCCAAAAGGCAAACTTGTCAGTGAACCTCACCCTGGTGCTATTTAAAGGTGCTGTCTGGGGCCAGGGGGAGGGAACTGGCATTAAGGTTCAAGGTTCCCCAACACCAGTGACTCTAGGCTGCATCTGAAGGTCATTGCACCCACCGTCAGAGACACTGGCTACTGGGCAGAAGATGTGGGTGACTATGGGTGCCATGGGTGTCTCCTGGGAATGGGTGTGGCTGCAATGAGGAGCAGGTGTGAGGGTGGACGCACTACCCTAATTCTGCTAATGCCCCTAAGCTGGTGGGGACATACCTGTCTGTCCCTCCGGCTCAAACAGAGGTTCCCACATCTGCCACGCTGCCCTCCGTTCATTCCCTCCCTTCCCTGCCCGTTCTTCCATGGCCCAGCCTCATCGGACGGGGAGCCTCAGAATCTCTGGGATGTCCTGTGCACGCTCAGCCCAGCTGGCCAGATTGACACCTTCTGGTTTACTTCGTTGTCACGTGCCCATCTTTTACACAGTCTTTGTCTCCTAGCACTGTCTTTTGTCCGTTTCTTTGTGATTCCTTTCTCCTGTCTCTGGTTTCTGTTTCTTTCCATAACCAGTTCCTCTGTCTTCAAAGTCTGTTCCTCTGCGAGCTTGTTCTTGTGTCTCCCTCTCCACTCCCGCATCTGCACCCCGGAGTAACAGCAACCGGCCTGCAGGACACATTCCAGTGAGTGTGTGTGTGTTGCCTAGGTCGGTGTACCCGCCCCCTCCCGCGCCCATTGGACAACCGCGGACCTAGCCCCGCCCCTGACCGTGCAGCTGGGCCACTGCGCGCAGGCGGGCACAGGTCGGGATGCGCTGCCGCCTCTGGCTGGGCCTGGCCTGGCTGCTGCTGGCTTGGGTACCGGGTGCCCCGGGCGGTTACCCGCATCTGGAGGGCGACGTGCGCTGGCGACGCCTCTTCTCCTCCACCCACTTCTTCCTGCGAGTGGACCCCGGTGGCCGGGTGGAGGGGACACGCTGGCGGCATGGCCAGGACAGTGAGTGATGGGGCGGCAGGGTGAGATGGGCACACCTCCTGTGGGCTCCCGGGCGAGGCAGAGGCCAGCACCTGGGCTACGTACAGGGTCAAACTGAGACTGCCCATAGGAACTGCATGCCCAGTGGGATCATAAGACAGGAATCCCGCTCCTGGAATTGAGACCTGCCTGAAATGGGGCTCGCTCTGTTCCCAAACACCCCTATTTGGCAAATGAGGTAAGATGGATGCCCTGATCTCAAGGTCCTGCACAAGAAATGGAGCTGGGTCCGCACGGAACCCTGCCTTGCATATGAAAGGCCTTCGATAAGTGTTTGTGGCATCTATGTAGGAAGAGGAAAGGTGAGGAGGAAGCTGGCGGTGATGGGGAGGCCATAGCTAGCTCCCCTGGTGCTAAAGTCTGGTAGGAGTTCCTGGGAGGGTTTGAGCTCAGCCCTGGGCAGGTGACACAGCACTGCCCATCCCAGTGGCTTTCATCTGGGTTCCAAGGCCCTCATTAGGCCACACAGGATGAGGGCTATGACAGGGGACTGGCTGGGCAGGTCCATCTGTGGCAGCACAGTCAGGTGGGGTGGCCCCAGGCTGGGGAAGAGGCCCAGCTGAGTGACCTGGGCCCTTTAGTACTTCTGAGATTTAGATCCTGTCTATAGGGGTGGTGGCCAAGAGGATACAATGCTAACCAAGACGGCCCATTGTGATGGGTCTTCATTCCCTAAGGGACAGGGACAGAGTGATGTGGCTCATGTCCCCAGCATGGGCCCTCAAGCTTCTAGAGACCTGTGGTGGGCTCATCCCCTGAATGGGTTCCTGGAGGAAGCTGCAGATCAGACAGGTAGGGCTTGCCAGGGCCATTCACAGGACTGAACAGACAGAGGTCCAAGGCTAGTTCTTTCAAGTCTGGCCCTCAGTTTCTGTTCTGGAAATGGGTACAGTTGGCACCTGACCCAGGGTTGTGTAGGCAGCTGGTGTCCAAGGCTCCCGAAGTCTCTTCTGGTTAGCTCCTGGTGGCTGTGGACAGACTCCTTCATCCAGGGTGGAGTCCTGGCCTTTAGGGTCCACGCCAGCTGGGGTTGGAGACAGTGGTGATGGGACTTGAGAAGCCCAGTGTGGCTACTGCCTGACTGTTCCACCCAATCTCCTAGGTATTATTGAGATCCGCTCTGTCCATGTGGGCACCGTGGTGATCAAGGCTGTGTACTCAGGCTTCTACGTGGCCATGAATCGCAGAGGCCGCCTCTACGGGTCGGTGAGTGATGGGCAGTACCCAGCGGGTGGTGATGGTTGGTGGGGCAGCCAGCCAGCCTCACATGCCCGCACTGCAGCGGGTCTACTCTGTGGACTGTAGGTTCCGAGAACGCATTGAGGAGAACGGCTACAACACATACGCCTCACGACGCTGGCGGCACCACGGCCGCCCTATGTTCCTGGCACTGGACGGCCAGGGCATTCCCCGGCAAGGTGGACAGACACAGCGGCACCAACTATCCACACACTTCCTGCCAGTGCTGGTCTCATCTTGAAGGGCTTGCTGGTTAAGGAAGCATGCACAGCAGAGGAGGCTGGAAGATCTGGAGTTGGGCAGGAAGGGCCCAAGCCAGAGAGATCCTGGACCTACACGGGTGTCTGCTGGCTGCCAGGCATGGAGATATGGCAGGGTCCCTATAGGGCAGGTCAACTCTCAGGGGATACACAAAACTGGCAGTTTCCACACATCTAGTTTGGAGGTGGGGACACACCAGGTGGACAGGCTGTAAAGGGCATGGCCCAGGTTGGTGGTAACAGCAAGGCACACCTATCGTCCCATGTGGTCAGAGTAGGGGCCAGAGCTAAGAAGAGCATTTTCTTGCTCTTCCAGGGGGACTAAGCTTAGTTCTCCCAGACGAGGTCGCTCACAATCACCTGTATGCCCCACTCCAGAGGACCCGACTCTTTTCTGACCTCTGCAGGTAACTGCACTCATGTGCATGTACCCTGCTTCCACACGCCTAAGACCACACACTCACACGCCTAAGATCACACACTCACATACATACAGACACAGACACACACACGCCTAAGATCACACACTCAACACACACACACACATTTTTTTTTTTTTTTCGAGACAGGGTTTCTCTGCAGCTTTGGAGCCTGTCCTAGAACTTGCTCTGTAGACCAGGCTTGTCTCAAACTCACAGAGATCTGCCTGCCTCTGGCTAGTGTCACTGGCCTGCAGACTGTTCTTCAGAACTGACAGGGCATGAGGCATGGAGCCACAGGCCCAGTTCCTTGCCCATGGCTCCGACACCTCTGCAGCAATTAAAGGCATGCGCCACTATGCAGGGCTGACATGGGGCCTCTGGACACTAGATGGGTTCACTGCCTGTCTTCCCTCAAGTCCCTGGGAGAGACTGAGGACACCAGTGTCAGCTTCTGTCCCAGAACCATCAACAATAAATGTCTTAAGCCTTAGTGAGCATGTTTGCTCGTCAGAGGTAGGATGCACGCACCATGCTAACAGGGATGGCCAAGGGTACAGTGCCAGCATCAGCAGGGAATGGCAGTCTGCATGGTACCCATGGCTGGGATCTTTTCTGCTACCAGGCCGCCAGGGTGGGATGTGGCTGGCACTTTGTCATTTAAGCACCAACCTGAGGAAGCCAAGACTTGTGCTCCAGACGGTAGAGTAGAAGGCAACCAAAGAATGACCAGTCGGCTGACACCCGCAGCACCAGGGCTGGAGGACTCGTGCACCTCTGGGCTCTGCGGACAGTTCGTACCAGTGCTGACATCAGCGACTGCTCTGGGCTCTTCACGGAATCTCAGGAGCAGAGCTGGGGGCCTGCTCATCCACAGCAATGCTGGCGTGGCATTAGGTGAGCTTATCGATGCTGCAAGTCCAGGAAAGTGGCGTGTGGACGAGACTGAGGATCCCTGGTCACAGGCCCTACCACCACGTGGTCACCCACACTCAGGGCTGGCAAAAGACGGCTTCCCCTCCAAGCGGCCCTGAAGGCAGGAGTTCAAAATGCCTTCTGCTGAACACTGCCAAAGCCTGGGTACCTTCTGGCCTTGGCCAGAAGCACAAACCCACCCTGTGAGCTGCCCCATTGGACAGTCATGGATACCCTGGCTGAAGGAAGACGCCAAGCCATGGGCTCTGCTTTTTTGAGGAGGTGTATTTTAAATAGCTTTCCAGATAACACACATTTCCCTTTAAAAAAAAAAAGTCTGCTGGAGCAGTTTGTTCCTGGGTCTGCTGGTCACCCTTGTGGTCCCGAGGTCGGTGCTGGCCGGTGCTGGGCCCGGCCTCCCAGGGCATGTGGTGGGCTGGGCCTGGCGACAGTCCTGCCGACTCTCCACAGATCATGCATGGCCGCACGTGGCTCAAATGTCCATTTATTTCAAAGCAGTAATAATTTAAAATCATAAAAACCCTTCTGCCGTTGAACATTTGGAGGGTGAGGTTAAAGACGGACTGAAGGCGCCTGCTGGGGACATGGGGCCCACGTGCGTGCCTCCAAATAGGAGCGGCCACGGCCAAGTCCACGCCTGTCGCAGCCTGGGGCCCGCCAGGTGCTGCTGGCCACCACAGGGCAGCACCTCTAGTCCATGGTCATGGCGGTGCTAGGGCACCTGGGGGCGGGTGGGATGACCGAGCCCCGGGGGTGGGTGGCCAGGTGGGACTCAGGAGTTGCTTGTGGCGTTCTCGTTGCTGGGCGAGCTGGACGAGGATGAGGACGAGGATGACGAGAAGCCCACCCCAGTCAGGCCTGGGGGATTGGTGGCCGTGTTCTGTCCAGTGAGGCTCTTGCGGCAGACTGGGCAGCTGTCGTGCTTGAGAGGACAGAGGAGGAAGGAGTTAAGAGGAGCAGCAGGGCCTGGGGTCAGGGCCAAGGTTAACATCAGGTTCATGATCAGTCTGGCCCACAATCAGAGTCTGTGTTAGGGACAAAGTCAGGGCCCAGGGAAGGTAGCAGACAGGCACAGCAACAAAGTCAGGGTCAGCACCACAAAGCTTACTGCTTGCGCATACTCTATCCGGGAACTGTTTCTGGATCTGGGTGGGGCACAGTAAAGCCAGGGCTAGCACGAAGTCAGCCTTAGGGTCACAGCGGGAGGCAGGCTCAGAAGGAAGTGGAACGAGAAGGCTATGGCTAGTGTTAGGGCTGCAGTCAGGATGAGCACAGGGTTCTGGTTGGCAGGCAAGCAGACTAGGGTTAAGGTCAGAGCTGTGTCTGGTTTTGTGGGCCGCCTCAGAGTGTAGGGCAGTCACCTGCTCTAGCCAGGGCACAATGCAGCTGTCATGGAACAGGTGGTTGCAGGGCAACTGCCGCACGACCTCGCCCAGTGCGTAGTCGTCTTTGCACACGGGGCACTCCAGCCCTGAGCCTGCAGAGGAAGCAGGTCGGTGAGAGGCATGCTGTGGCAGGGGAGGTACCCAGGGACTCTGGCCACCATCCTGTGAGCATACCCACGTGTTCCTCTGTGACGGGGACTGTGGGGAGGGCCTGAATCTTCTCCTTGTCTGCGGGTGGGGGGCCCGTGTTCTCAAATTGATTGAGGAGCTGAAAGACAAGAAGCAGCAGTAACGTGAGGGGGGCAGGGCTCCCAACAGGACGGGGGGGGGGGGGGGGGGGGCGGATCGAGGCGTCTACACCTGCCCAGCTCTGCAAGGCTGCAAATCAGCAGGACACACCAGGCCCTTAAACCTCAGAGCTGTCTGAAATATACAGGCTTAGTACAGGCCACTGTCCTTCCTAGGACAGCAGGCATCCTTCAAGAGAGGGGAGAAAGGGACCAGTCACTGAGCTGACACCAGAGGGCGGGATGCAGTGGCCTCTGATACTACAGAGTCTGCACCCATGTGCCTCACCAGGCTGGCCGGCCGACTTCCTGACCCCCCAGATTCTGAGTGTGGCCGGTTGTACCTGTGTGATGATGGTGTCCAGGCCGTTGGCCCCCCAGGCGTAGTCCATTGGGTTCGAGTGCAGGACGCCCCTGGGGGGGAGAGGCCGGGTCAGGGGGCGCAAGGTGTGAGGGGCCAGGCACCCGTCCCCTACTCACCAGGGACCAAGGCCCAGGCTGGGTACAGCGGCCGGGGAGATGATACCATTCACAAGTTGCTGGATGATCCTGTGGGAGAGATGGTGTCACAGGGGCTCACAACAGTCAGCACCACCACCTCACGAGACAGAGCAGCCAGTCTTGGATTGCGTGGTCTTTCTGTCTCCACCACTCAAGTACTGGAATGACAGGTAAGCACCCTCCTACCCAATGGCAGGGAGTCAATGGTGCAAACCGTTTTATAGGCACTCCTGATAGCCAGCAGCCATGGGACATGGCCCCAAAGACCTGGACCCCAGCCTACTCCTCTTCCACAGGGGATTGGGGATGCACTACTCAGGTCCTGTGGGTGACCCAGACTCCCTGGGTCCTGTCTAAGGAGAGAGGTGACCAGATGACTTCCTTACAGAAGCCTTGAGACTCAGGTCAGTGGAGTGTGCTTGCCTCCCATGTTTCTAGGCCCCACTGTGGTTGTGAGGCCCTCACCAGCTACCCCGTCCACTTACCCTTCCAGCGTGGGGACACCTTCATGCCGGCCAGTGGCCCGCCGGGCAGTAAGGCGAGCCCGGGGCTGCCGGGCTCCGTACCGATGTCGAGACTGGTGCTCTCTCTCCCGTCGGCTCTCGGGGTCCCTGCCATCATCGGCCTGTGCCCCAGGAGGAAACGTGGGAATCTCAAAGCTATCGTCGAAGATGCCGAAAGCAAACTGGCTGTACCCCTGCGGCAGCGTGAACAGGTGCTGGTCCACACTCTGCGGGGAAGATGCAGTGAGGCCGCCATATACCGCGACAGCGAAGGGGGAAGGAATGGGAGACAACTGTCAGGGCTAGGAAGAGCACCATCAAGTATGGGGCAGGGGAGGACCTGGGGACTAGGGACCCTGACTCACCTCAAATGGCTGCCGGTTCTGGTCGGTGGAGGCTGTGGAGGGGGCAGAGCTGTTTTCTGTGTTCCTGGGGAGAGAGAGCCTGTCAATTGCAGCTCAAGTCTCTCCTAGGTCCTCAGGTCAGAGAATGCCGAGGTTACGGTAGCCCCCCAGCCCTGAGCACTACCTGGTCTCTTCTGGAAGCTCCTCAATGAAGCCAGACTCGCACCTTGGGCAGATGTAATCCTGCGGGGAAGGCAGGGGTCAGTATGGCCCCATCCTAAGCCAAATACGGCAGCTCTGGCTAGCCCGTGCCTGAGGAGCATAGGCTACAAGGACAGCTGCCCCCTCCCACAGCCTTAGCAACTCTAGCACCCTGCTAGGTCTCCTCAAGTCTGGATTCCTCCAGTGACCTCCCAATCCTGGTGAATAGCAGACACAGTGTACATTCCACAAGGACAGGGCCTACAGTTCCTTCTTCAGACACACAAGGGTGGACACGAACTCGTATAGGCCCAGCAGGAAGAAAATCCTCCCTGAGACCAACTGCAAGCCGCATTTGTGGTTCTGGTGCCAGAACCCATGGACCCAGAGGCTGAGTCACCTCTGGGGACACCACCACACACGGGAGGTCCCTACAAGTGCGGAGCCTTGAGTGCTAAGGCGGTGGTGCAGGCGGGCAGCCAAGACCATGGGCCTCGCATTGACAGAATGGATCCCAGACAAACACGGCCCCATGCCTGACCACGGGGCTTCACACAACACGTCCCACACTACATCCTGCCCCCCTGCCCCAGCCAAAAGCAGCTTGCAAGCTGTCAGACAAGAGTAGAGCGGGCAGGGAGGGTGACACACCTCCACATATGGACGCACCGCCACGAACATGTGAAGGGGTGACACCAGCCAGCACGACTCAGCTGACCTGAGACAGTCAGCAGACCCAGGGCAGCCTCATCAGAGCTGGGTGGCCAAAGTCTGACCACCACCACCTCTCCTGACACAGTACAGTATCAGGTCTGGTGGCCTCTGCTCGACTGCCATGCCCAGCCACCCCTCACGGGCTCAGAGGAGGGACAGTTAGGGTAGGCTTGTATCCACTGCCAATGTCTGTCTCTTAGGTAGTTACCGCTCACCCCTCAGAGCAGCTGGTGCCAGGGGGGGACCCAGCAGAAGTCATTCTGCCTTGCCTGGTTCTGATACTCTGCTCTTGACAACCTGCTCAGAGAAGATCCCCAATAGAGAGCTGAGGCTATAGGATAGCCACAGAACATGGGGTGCCCTATGCTCAGGTGACACATTCTGAAGGACCACTCTGAGTGCCACAGGGAAGGCAGGGGACCGAATCCAAGCATCTCTGGCTAGTGTCACTGGCCTGCAGACTGCTCTTCAGAACTGACAGGGCGTGAGGCATGGAGCCACAGGCCCAGTTCCCTGCCCATGGCTCCTAGTGTAGAAGCATCATCCTTGGGCACATGTGTGTCCTACATCCCCAGAAGACGCAGCCAGCCACTACCTGTCTCACAAGCCCATGCAGCACCTTACCCAGTGCATGGCCATGCTGTCTCCCACCACACCCACCGTGCCTAGGCTCTGTCTGTAGGAGTGGTTCTGCCCAGAACCCAGGCAGGGCTCCACGTCATGCAGCAGGCACTGGTCCCCTCGTCTACTTCCTTTGACCCATGAGGCTGTGAGCAGGTAAAATGAGGAGCTGGGCTGCAGGTGTCTGCACACGGAAAGCCCATGTCTGCACCTGTACGTCACATGGCCTCCACCAACACACCCTGAAGAGGATCAAGTCTGGGCACGCACTGCCCACAGCCCCTGGCTCTAGCCAACTCATCTGCTCCCTACTGATACGTTCCCAACCAAGCAAACTATCCGTCACAGCCCCATGGGCACCGACAGACAAACTGCCCATCAGAGCAGCAGTTCTCAACCTGTGGGTCGGGATAACCCCTGGGAGCTGAGCGGCCCTTTCTCAGGGTACATCAGACACTGAGTGTTAGAGATTTGGATTACAATTCCTAACAATAGCAAACAGTTATGAGGAAGCAATGAAAATAATTTTATGGTTGGGGTTACTACACACGAGGAACTGTAGTAAAGGGTCACAGCGTCAGGAAGGCTGAGGGCCTCTGTATTGGAGACCGGGGTGCTGCTCACTTGTCTGGAGTGGGCAGCACACCGGACAGCTGATGGCACAGAGCAGCCCAGGGTCTGTGAAGGTGTAATCGCTGGAAGCGGGAGTCTACCGCAACCAACTCAGGTGTCTAGAGCAGCAGCTGTCACTACAGCTGTGAACAGGACAGGTTCTCTCCTGGGTGGCCTACCCTGGAACGTAGACCTGCCCCAGCTCCTTTACCATGCTAGCTGCTCTTACATAAACCACCCATGCCACTGTCTAAGCACTTGTCACTCCCTGGCTGCCCTCAAACCCTGTAAGAACAAATACCATGCTAGGTCACTGGGACTTACAGGAGGGCCCTTGCCAGGCACAGTGGCATTAGAGGTCAGGGTCCTCTGTGTCAAAGTCACAGGGCCAGCACCTGGAACTGTGCTGGCCCCAGTAAGAAGAAGCGATGGCAAGGTGTGCACCTGGGCCAGGCCATCTCCTAGCAAAGAGACCAAGACCCACGCTTCAGTTCCCAGAATTGACAAGGATGGTGATGAGACTGCACAGCCCCCCAGTTCAGGCTCATCCTTGATACTGAGACCAGGAAAGGTCCAGGCAGAGCTGGGGGGTGGGGGGGTGGGCAGGGATGAAGCTCAGCAGACAGAGAAGCAGAAATCACAATCAGGGAGACGCCCACTACAGACACCACTCTCCCTTCAGCCTGCTTTGCTCTGTTATTGTTTTGCTTTGTTTTCTTTTTTCTAGACAGGGTTTCCTGGTGTCACCCTAGCTGTCCTGGAATCCTTTATGTAGACCAGGCTGGCCCAAACTCCACTTGCCCCTCCTAGTGCTAGGATTAAAAGCATGAGCCACCTAGCCTGGTCAAACTGAATTCTGAAGAAAGCCACTGTCACTACCCAGAGGAGCGGTGTGCAGGGAGACACGAAGAAACTGCACCAACTCTCACTTCACCCGGAATGCCTATGCATGGTCCAGATACCACTCCACCACCTTTGCAACGGCAGTGTGACTTACACCAGACCAGGTGCCCCTTCAAAGGGCCCACCCGAGCTTCCTTTTCTCAAAAAGCAGGAGCTGACTCCATGCCTGGCCTGGGAAGGTGGCAGCAGGCCTCAAGTACTGGGAGATGAACCCTCCAGAGGGCGAGCCTCAAACCTAGGGATGAGACAAGGGATGATGGGGTAGGGGGTGTTGGGAGGATGCTGCCCTGGGAACCAAAGAGCTACCCATCAGGGTTTGGATAGACAGACCTGGGAAAAGGGGAGACCTGCTTGATACCAGACACAGTCAATCACTCTCAACAGGCTTCCAAGAACCCTGGGAGGCACCTGGCCAAAACTACCTTGAACTGGATGCAGGAGGCCCCAAGATACCCAAGCAGGGTCCTCGGGGTACACATGCCCAAAGCCACCTTGAAGGACCAGGAGGCTTTGGGGATACTCTAGTGGGGTCCTAGGGATACATCTACCCAAAGCCACCAGGTAGCAGCAGGAGGCTTGGGGACACCCGGGTGGGGCCCTGGGGGTGCAGCTGGCCAAAGCCACATTGAAGCAGTAGCACAAAGCCTGTAACAACCAGGTGGGGTGTCGGTGCGAGCAGCCCAGACCCCCCAGACTGCGGCGTCGGATTTGTAGCTCCTCTGGGCGCAGCTGCGAGGCCCGGAGTAGCGCTCGAGGCCACGCTGCGCGTCCCCGCGTCCTGGCCACGCGCTCGGCGACCGTCCCCGGCGCGGAGCTCAGCTTCCCGATCCCCGCCGAGTCCGACCAACGCCACACGTCCCCCCGAGGGACACCCGCCGCAGCCCTGGGTCCTGGGGCCTGCCCGCCACGCTGCTCGCACACCGCCGGGTCTCGGCTTCCCCTCTAGCTCGCCTCGCGCGCACAGCCCCGCCGCCCTCCCGTCCGGACCTCACCGGCAGGCGAGGCACGATCTCCACCGAACAGCAGTGGCAGAAGTACCGTCCGGGCTGCGGCGATGCCTCGGCCATGGCCACCGCCGCCTCCGCGTCGCCCGCCCCCCGCGCGGCGCCCGCCGCCGGCCGTTTGCTGCTCCCTCGCCGGCCGACGCGCCCGCGCACGCTCACGCATAGCACGCACGGCACGCACGTTCAGGCGTGGGGCTCGTGGAGGGACGCGGGCGACGCGCTGTAGAGGGGGGTGGTGGCAGACTAGTGGAGGACGGTGGCCGCACTAGAACAAACTAGGTACTTCCGGAAGTCGGGGACCCGAGCAAAGCGTGAGGGGCGGAGCCTCCCGACCGGGCGGCGGGAGCCTAGTCTCCTTGGCAACCGGGGCGGAGTTGGGCAGTAACGGGACAGCAGAGCATCTTGGGGGCGGGGCCCATCCGAAGTGGGCGGAGCCGAGAGGCCTCCGCGACGGGAGTAGGGGCGGAGTCATGCTTGGAGAGCTCGGAAATTCCGGAACGGCGCGAAGGCGGGTCTCTTTGACAACGACTTTCGTAGGTGAAGCGAGGCTTTGGATGTAGGGAGAAGTCAGGGATGGGGGACAAGCGAGCGGAGGAGTTACTTGGGGAGGAGACGCTTCTTGGTAACCTGGGTGGGGCGGGGCCTCGTGGAAGCCGCCGAGAGCAAGGGGCTGCCCGCTGTCTCCTTGGCAACGTGGGGTACGGTTGTAACCTGTAAGCAACTGGACTGAGCCTGTGCAGGGCGGGGCCAGGGTTCCCTGGTAAGGAGGATCGGAGACCGGACCAATCGTGGAAATAGCATAGGAGCTTGGAGTGGAGCCAAAGCTTCAAGCTTCCGGGCTCGTCTCCTTGGGTACTCGGCCAGCAAGCTGGGCCGGTTGGAGGCGGGCTTAGGCGCTCGGGGCGTGGTCGGCGTCGGGCAGGGCCGTCTCCTTGGCAACCGGGCTGGGCGGTTGAGGCGGAGCCTGAAAGCGGGTGACTTGCTCGGGAGAGGGGCTGTTCAGCCGCGAGAAGCCGAGGCGCTTGAGGGGCGGGGCTTAGTCGCCTTGGCAACCGCTCTCCCCTGGAGGAGGCTGATGGGCGGGGCTTAGGAGGCTGCTCCTCTTCTCGATCTGCCAAGCCCTCTTTTCCTTCCATCCTTACCCCTTCTTCTGATCCACCAGGCAAGCACGGAGGCGACTCCGGGCATTTATTCGTACTGTCTGTCTCTCCAAGTGCACAGTCCCCCAGAATTCCCAGTGCATTCTTTCTCATGTCCAAGTCTCAGCTCCAATGTCGCCTTTTCTCGTGGTCTCCACAGCCCTCCTCCATACAATTATGTGCACCTGATGAACTGACAACGCCAGGCAGAAAGGAGTATTATGTCTGGGTGGTGCACATCAGGCGTCCCACAAACAATCGAGATATGGATGCGAAGGAACCTATTCTCTGGTCAAAGGAAGAACCTCTAACTTGAAGGCAGCCCGTCTGTCTGTGGGACCCTTGAAGAGAGGATGAAACCTGCGTCATCTTTTAGGGTAGGCCAAGAATATTCCTGGGCTGGAGAGATGACTCAGAGGTTAAGAGCACTGACTGCTCTTCCAAAGGTCCTGAGTTCAATTCCCAGCAACCACATGGTGGCTCACAACCATCTCTAATGAGATCTGGTGCCCTCTTCTGGCATGCAAGCAAACATGGAAGGAATGTTGTATACATAATAAATAAATAA